AGCAATAAATCATATAAAGTTCATATCATGAAATCTCAATAAAATACCACATGCTTTAAAAATTATGATTTGAATCAAAACATCTCGTTTAAACCCAGTTCTAGTAAAATCATTTAAAGCTATTTTTCAACAGTTTTCAAACAGAGGCTAAATGCAAAGGTGAGCAAAAATGATGAAATCATAAACAACCCCTCGGGCAAAACCTCACAGTCACTCATGCCTCTCGGGCATACCTCACAATCACTCATGCCACTCGGGCATATCTCACAATCACGCATGCCACTCGGGCATACCTCACAATCACTCATGCCACTCGGGCATACCTCACAATCACTCATGCCTCCCAATCACTCGGCACTCGCACTAAGTGGGTACCTGCGCTCACTGAGGGTGTGTACAGACTCCGGAGGGGCTACTTCAGCCCAAGCGCTATATCAAGCCAAATCATGGCATAAATTAATCAGGCCCTTGACCTATATCAAAATATGCTGCAATGTGCAGCCCGATCCCATAAATATCCTCACAAATCAGGCCCTCGACCTCACTCAGTCATAAACCTCTCGAGCCACTCGGTCATTTCAGTAAAAATAGGGTATTCAGCCCAAAACAACATTTTTATGCATCAAAATAGAGTAATAAAACTGAGTTATCCAGTAAACAAGTATAACCATGACTGAGTATAAATTTTCAATCGAAAACAGTGTGAGGATAGTGAGAAAAGGCCCCGAAGGGTCCAAACAACACTGGCACAAGGCCCAAAACATGGCATTCAGCCCAATTTACAGAAACTCTTTCTAAAACATATGAGTATCATATAGATTCAACAAAATATGCAATTTTCTAGTTGCTACGGGACGGACCAAGTCACAATCCCCAATAGTGCACGCCCACACGCCCGTCATCTAGCACGTGCGTCACTTCAAAATAGAAGAATGATACAAAATCCGAGGTTTCATACCCTCAGGACTAGATTTACAATCGTTACTTACCTCAATCCGAGCAAATCTCTACTCCGCAATGCCCCTACCTCTCGAATCGGCCTCCAAACGTCCTGAATCTAGCCACAAGCAATACAATACGATCAATATAGGCTAAAGGAATCAATTACACAAGAAAATACCAAATTAGACTCAAAATCCGAAATTGGCTCAAACCCGACCCCGGTTCCACGTCTCGAAATCCAACAAAAATTATAAAACTAGATATCCCATTCACCCACGAGTCCATACATACAAAATTTATCTAAATCCGACATCATTTGGTCCCTCAAATCCTTAATTTAGACTCTCCAAAATTTCAAGCCCTAACCCCTCATTTTTACTAATTACATAATTAAACAATGGGAAACCACCATATATACGAGTATTAGGGCTCAAGAAACATACCTCACTGATAGCCCTTGAATCACCCTTCAAAAATCACTCCAAAAGCTCCAAACACCGACTTGAAAATGGTGAAAATGAACCAAATTCGCGAAGGGTTCTATTTATGATTTCTGCCCAGGCTTTTCGCACCTGCGGACCATTTCTCGCTTCTGCGCCACCGCACCTGCGAAAATATCAATCGTAGGTGCGGAAATCACTTAGGAGTCCAGGTTCCGCATCTGCGGCCCAACATCTCGCACATACGAAAGCGCACCTGCGCATTTCCTTCCGCTTCTACGAAGCTTGCCCAACGTCCCCCTTTCTGCATCTGCGCCCCAGGTTTCGCACCTGCGGGCTCGCAGATGCGACCTCCAACTCGCACCTGCGCATCCTGCCTAGCCCAGCACTGCCCGCACCTGCGAACTCCCCATGTGCACCAGCGACCTCGCGCCTGCGACTCCCCCTTCCGCAGGTGCGGAAATAATAGTAGCAGCAACTTCAACTGCATTTTCCAATTTTGACAAATCCGTTAACCCCTGGAATCACCCCGAGGCCCTTGGGACCTCAACCAAAAATACAACAAGTCATATATCAACACACAAACTTAGTAGATCCTTTGAATCACTCAAAATAACATCGAAATACCAAATTACCCTCGGATTCAAGCCTAAGAATTTCTAAAACTTCCAAATTCGACAACCGATACTGAAACCAACCAAACCACGTCTGAATGACCTCAAATTTTGCACACACGTCACAAATGACACTACAAACCTACTCCAACTTTTGAAATTTCATTCCGACCCCGATATCAAATTTTTCACTACCGACCAAAATCGCCAAATTTTCAATTTCTCCAATTCAAGCCTAATTCTACTACGGACCTTCAAATCACATTTTGAACGCGCTCCTAAGTTCAAAATCACCTAACGGAGCTAATGAAACCATCAGAATTCAAATTCGAGGTCGTTTACATATAGGTCAATATCCGGTTGACTTTTTCCAACTTAAGCTTCTACTTTAGAGACTAAGTGTCTCATTCCACTCCGAAACTACTCCGGACCCGAACCAACCAACCTGATACAATACAATACAGATAAACAACACATAAAGAAGCAGAAATGGGAAAATGGGGTTATAACTCTCGAAACGAATGGCCGAGTCGTTATAATTACAAAAGTGTTAACTGATTACATTTATATTATTTAGGTAGTAAATATAAAAGTGATTCAAAAGTTTGACCAATGTTGACCTAATAACCGACCAACTTTGGTCGGTTATTTTCCAGAAAATAAAATATACCGACCAAAGTTGGTCGGTATATGCTTCCCCTGCATTAACCGACCAACGTTGGTCGGTAATTTTAAATATAAATTCTTAAATTTTAAATATAAATAAAATATACCGACCAAAGTTGATCGGTAAATGCTTCCCCTGCATTAACCGACCAACGTTGGTCGATAATTTTAAATATAAATTCTTAAATTTTAAATATAAATAAAATATACCGACCAAAGTTGATCGGTAAATGCTTCCCCTGCATTAACCGACCAACGTTGGTCGATAATTTTAAATATAAATTCTTAAATTTATATAACATTTTAAATAATAAAATAATTATTAAAAATTTAAAAATTGGGTCCAAATTACCGACCAAAGTTGGTCGGTAATCCAAAAGTTTCTTTGACTAAGCAAGTCTGACTAGCTGGGTCAACTTGTTGACCAATTTACGACCAACTTTGGTCGGTATGTATTTTAAAAAAAATATAAAATATTATTTTTCCAGTTTCCGTCCAAGCTGGACGGTTTTTGGTCGTTTATTTTGACCGACCAATATTGGTCGGAAATATTTGGTCAATTTTTAGCGGACTTCTGGTAATGTTTTTAAGCCAATCCAAACGAGCTCGTAATCCTATTTCGCTAAGTATATAATTTTACAGCTTGATTCATTAGTTGAATGAAAGGAAGATTCCATTATAAAAAAGAAAATTTTATTGAACTTGACATGCAAAAACACTAAATAACATCTAACAATTATTTATAGAAGAAATAAGTAGCTCCCTCAAGCTCTATTGTTTTCCTTGTGTCCGTATTTCTCGAAGAAAATGTTTTCACTTCATTGGTGACCCATAGACAGAAGTGGAGTCGGAATTTGAAGTTTATGGTAATCTATTTAAGTTATTTAATTCTAAATTAATAATTTATACATATTATATTTCTTAAGACAAATATAAATTTGGATTAAAGTTATTATGTTCAATCGAACTCGTAACCTGTGTTCCAACTCCGCCCCTGCCCATAGATATTTACTTTTTCTAGGAGTTCGGACCGTCTTAGGTATGCCATATTTCTTTGGGCCATTCCTCACGTTAATATTTATGTTATAATTCTTGGAAGTATATTTTGATTTATGAACCTATGCACTTGTAGTACAGGAATATCACGAAAACATGGAGATTAGACTGAGACGGAAAAAAAGGAAGAGGGCGCACTCAACAACTCAAAAGCTAATCTCAGCCTTTTGGGGATATACAATAATTGGTTTGCGGATTCGGCGAACATAGTGATACGAGGTAGGAACATTTTAATATGTGCGAAAAATAAGGGGTTCATTATTAAAATGGTCCTCACTTATCCCAAATTATTTTTTAAAGTCACTTTTCTTTTGTTTGTAACAATAAAGTCATCGAACTATGCATATTGCACTCAAAAAATCACTCAACTAGATTTTTCAAATTTTGAATTGCCAAATACCTATTTTACCCTCAAGATTATAAATATTCATCTTTTGTTTTTTTTTTAAAAAAACTTTTTAATATTATGATTTTTCCCTTTTTAATTTACATTATGGACTTACCTATAGAATAAATCAATATTATTTATAAATTAAAAAAATAAAAAGTATTTAAGCATATATAATATTGGAATAACAAAATAACGAGCATAGTAAAAAACATAATTAGAATAATTTGTTACTAATAATAATTTTAGTATTAACAAAAAAAATTTTNGTGACATAACTTTGTGTCGTCGGAAAGTTGGTAGAAACATAATAATATAATTGAGCATAATTTTGAGGAATATATAATGTATATTATAAAAATACCTTTATTTAAATAAATATTTTTATATTATGTGCACAAAATATATATTTTACAACCTTTATTTTCTTTCATTTTGAATTGTGTAAATAATTTTTTGAATTTTTGTTGTTAATACTAAAAAGTTTAAAAATAAATAAAAAGAAGATAAATGTTTATAATTTAAAGGGTAAAAGAGGTATTTTGGCAATCCAGAAATTTAGAAAATCTAGTTGAGTGACCTTCTGAGTGCAATAGGCATAGTTCAGTGACTTTGTTGTTACAAACGAAAGAACAGTGACTTTAGGAGATAATTTGGGATAGTTGAGTAACCATTTGAGTAATTTACTCGAAAAACAAGTATAACTAAATTTACATTTCACACTTAGAATCCACTGGGTCTAAATTTTGGTTTGCGGACATGGGGCATATGGTTATGACTACACGGACAATTTTTCTAACAAATACAAGAAGCTTTCGAAAGCAAGAAAAGCTAAGCGATTCCTTCTTATGGGCGAAAAAGCAATCTAACGCTTGCTACCACCAAGAAAATCTATGAGCACACCAGGCTAAATATAGCATAAAATCTCAAACCATTAATAATATATGTACAGACTTTAGCTGTAATAAACATTAATGAAACACTTAAGGAATAAACTTGACAGCAAAATGCGCCGATTCAAGAAGTAAATGACATGATATAAAGGCACCAAAGAATACCAAGATCCATCCCCATTCCAAACTGCCAAAAACAGAATTTAATGTTCAGAAGTTTGTTGTATTAAGATCTGAATAAGATCTTTAGGTGAGCTTATATGTATCATCTAAAAGATATTGACAAAAACATAAACAAGTCTACGTCTATACTTGGTAGAGCTGCCTGTATGATATCTATCATGTTTCATATTTTACCTCTCTTGTGCAGTTGTGCTTAGATTGAAACTTTAAGGTCTCCTGTTGGACTTGTTGCGCATAAACCGTTCCATAAAATCTTCGCCGAGTAGGTTTGGTTTTACTTCACGGAACGTTCCTGGTTTCTTCATCTTGGAATTCTGAAAATTACTGGTAAAAATGAGTAGAGTTAGTAACTATATTGATCTGATACCCAAAAAAGTAGTACTTCCTCCGTTTCAATTTAGATGAGATATTTTGACTCGGCACGGAGTTTAAGAAGAAGAAAAAGACTTTTGAAATTTATGATCTTAAAAGATTAAGGGGTAAAAGTTTTGTGGGGCCATCACATTTATGCGGTTATAAAAGCTTCTTATTAAGGGTAAAAAAGATAAATAAAGATTTTAAAGTTGAAATATTTTCAAATTTAAAAATGTGTCATTTATTTTGGAACAAACTAAAAAGGAAAGTATTTCACCTAATTTGAAACAGAGAGAGTATTTCTTTGGTAGCAACGCAAGTCATCAACACAAAAACAAGCACATAGGCTATAGCACAAACTTTTATTTTTTACTTTTCATGCATTATTTCCCTTGTAGACTAAAAATGGCAGCCAGATGCACAAAACATCGTGCATTTACGCTAGGTCCGGGGAAGGGCTGCACCTTAAGGAGTGTGATTTAGACTTTCTAAATGTATAACCAACGCTTACTTGGAACTTCTTGAAGATCCTGGTTTATCCCTCAAACTCATAGCTGCCAGTTGACGTGCCAAGTTCTCGTCTCGATCACCATGAGCTGAGCTAGTTCTTGAGACAGCATTTCCATCAATTGGCCAAGTCATTGGAAGTATTAAGTCGCTACAGAACAAGAAGACTTGTAAAGTTACCATTTCAATGGTTTTCATTTATCCTAAAAATCAGCAATTTAGATCCGAAAAAAAGACTAAACATGTAAATGGATTACTTCAATATCCTAAAAGGTGTATATTTTTTATACGGATTTAACTTATAATACAATGAAGGTGTAAAGAAATTTTACACTATTAGCATTACTTTTACGCATTGTAGCAGGTTGCATGCCTTATTTTCTAGCTAACAAGTTCCTGTCATTAGTATCGGTTACTTGGAGTTATCTTTTACATTACCTGATAATGTAGAAATTCTTTTACACTGTTAGTGTACAGAGATTAAACAGCCCACAAGACAACAATTTAGATCAGAGAAAAAACTAAAAACATTCTGTACCGTTCAGCACGCTTGCATTTGCAACGATTCATCAAATCCACTGTATAATTACCAAAATGGATGTCAATCTGCTTTGACAACTTTGGTATCTGATATCCTGGTAAAATGTCCCAGATCTTTAATACTTGAAAGTATGTAGAGTTCTGCTCCAGAATATCTATGGTCCAAATCAATTTTAAGTGCTTGACACTATACACCTCCAACAGTTCTGAAGATTTCCCACCCTTGTTGCTGAGAATTCTGTTGTTTTCTGATTTACGCCAGCCATTTGAAAGCTTCACCAAAAGGGAAATCACCTCTTTACTAATCTCCACATCCTTAATTCTGGCCATGGATTTTGAGAAATCTTCACTAAACAAAACCTGTTATTTTGTAACAGAAAACAACCTGTTAGCTCTCCATTTGAAAACAAAACAAATGAGTTTAAGCTCTCAAGTCAAACAACTACCAAAACCTAACACTTTTGAAAACTTTGGCCTACTTAACTAGCAAAATCCAAACTGAAAAGATGTATATTTTGGCCATCAATATTGAACAAACAAAATCAACGATGGGAAAGCTGCTTCTTGACCATGAATTTAACAGGTGTTAGTAATGAAAAAAAAAAATAGCCCGGCGTACTAAGCTCCTGCTATGCGCGGGGTCCGAGGAAGGGTTGAACCATAAGGGTCTATTATACGCAACCTTACCCTGCATTTCTGCAAGAAGGCTGTTTCCCCGACTCGAACCCGTAACCTCCTGGTCACATGGCAACAACTTCACCAGTTACGCCAAGGCTCTCTTCGTGTTAGTAATGAAAGAAACCTTAAATTTCATCATAAGCCAAATGAATGCGAAGTAGCATACCTTCCACTTGGCCGCTTCGAATACAGGGGAATCCGTTCTAAGTAATGTTTCTAATTGGTCAAGCTCAATGGTTGCATTTGAAATTGCTTGATTCAATCTTTTGTCGTCAGTAACATCAAAGTAACAACGTCTAGCCTTGGCGTCAATGACTAAGTTTCTCCAGATGGAGCCACTGTTAACCAAAGTTGCGCCGTTCCCCAATATCCAAAGACAGTACCTGCATAAGAAGCCAACGAAACAATTATGGACATGTTCATAAATTATCTTCTTGCAGGAAGGTCATTGAAAGACAACAATAAATAAGAATAGCAAATTCGAACCATCCTTGATATTCAAACATTTTGAAATGTAGTAATGTTGTGCAGCAAATTAGTACCTTGCTCGAGTCAGTGCTACATTTGCTCTCTGAAGATTAGAAAGGAAACCAACAGATCCTCTTCCATTACAACGAACAGTGGAGATAATTATAACATCTTCTTCACCCCCTTGAAAACCATCAACAGAACGAACATTCACTGAGAAGTCACTTTTAACATCTGTGCTATATTTCTTGCCAAGAATTTGTTGAATAGCAAACACTTGAGCCTTGTAAGGAGATATGCAGCCAACACGGACCTTTTGTTTCGAAGAGACAGATTCTGTAATTCAGGTAATAATATCAGGTTTGCCAAATCAATTGCCATGCAAACTAAGATACAATAGACAAAACCAGAAATGTACATCTTAAGCTGAGATTAAGTACATGAAAGATAAAGTGTATTACCTTTATGAAGGTTGACAACTATCTCAGCTACAACGAAAGCTTCTGCCATATTTTTCGTGCTGTGCTTGTCATCAATCTCCTCATTTCCGCTACTTACATTAATAAATGAATAGGAGCCAAAAATATCTCCTTCAAGAAATCTCTTGTCATATACTGCTGCTTTCACATTAGGACCATCCATAATTTTCTTCTGATAAAACTCTCTATTTGGGAAGAGTCTTATTTTTGGATGCATCCTATATTGAACATTGAGAAGGTGCTTCTCGTGTCCTAAGATTACCAGCCTCTTAAATAAGCTCCTGCCGAATTCAGCCTTCTCACAGATCTGTGTATAACAGATACTAGTGGTCAATAATATAAGAGCAGCACAGTAAGTTTAAAAACAAGCTGTGAAAAGATTAACCGATAACCTCGCTCTGAACCATCNGAAAAGATTAACCGATAACCTTGCTCTGAACCATAGCAGGCAATTGTTTCTCATCTCCGACGAGTATAGCATGGCGCAGACCTGGGAGTTGTAAAGGAATAGTGGATTCACATTCTTTCAGCTGAGCAGCTTCATCAATTACCACCATCTCAAGTGGTGTCATTCCTTCTGTGTGCAATTTCGATGAGCTAGAAGCAGTGCAGAAAATCAAGCACGCACCTTTTAGACAAAAACTTCGAATTTGGTAGTCATCGATTAAATTTGGAAGAGAGATACTCTCACTAAGAAATTTCAATACTTTAAGGCATTCCATTTTGGTTGCATACAAATTTGCAAAACGTCTCGCCTTACTCCTTGATACAGTTCTGTGTGAAATATCTCTTAACCCTTCTGATGTTTCCACAGCAGCAAACAATGTTCCAAGAGTTTGAAGCATCTTAAGTACTCTGATCATTTCCTTAGCTACTTCTAGCGAAATGAAAGAAGTAGGTAGATGTGTATACAAGCTCGTCAGACAAAATATTAATTGGTTCTGTATCCATTTGAATCTTTTGATAACAAACTCCTCAAATGTCCAAACACTGGTTTCTTTGTTGCTTGCCTCCCCTTCATTCTTGACCTTGTTCGCCTCGCCAGCGGCTCTCGAGTTGTTCCTCCTTTGAGAACTTTGTTTATCATTCTTCTTGTTCTCTTTTAATGTTTCAAGGACAAATTTCTTCCACAACTTACTCTTCCTATTTTTGTCTACTCCTTGATCATTGATTTTGCGATCTTTTTCACTCAAACTAGATTCTTCACTAGTACTGCTTCCTTTTTCTTCCTCTTCCTCATCATCTGTGTCTTGATTATCATCAGTGTCATGTTCCTTATCTTTTTGTTTTTCTAAGTACTTACGGTATTGCTCTTCAGGATCCTCGAGCAAACATATCATGGATTGTATACCAACTTTCCACCCATTATTCGGAGACAAACAGCTAACAAGAGCATCAACACGGTTATTAAGAAACACATCAAACAGATCTTCATGATCATCGATCTTCATTCTTTCCCCATTACCAAATAAAACTATGTTTCCTAAACCATATGTATCATACTCCTGACCGTCCTGTACGTGTTGCATCAGCCTCTTTGTAACTCCCAAAACAGCAATGTTCGTAGGAGCACAGGTCAGAGTTCTGCATCTCATTTTTAACAGAACATAGAGTAAGCAGGCAACTGTTTTAGTCTTTCCAGTTCCCGGAGGACCCCAAATTAACTTAACCGTGTTCCTGTGATCACATTCTCTTGTTTCAACACAACTTATAACAGCCTTTTGTTGAGCATTATCTAGCCCAAAGGGCTGAATAATGGCCCTTGAATTTTTAGTTTTAGTTTCTATAAAGGAACAAAGGGAGCAGTCTACTTCACCCTGCAAACGATTGAAATACACTTGACCTCAATATTGGAAGCTAGATTAACTGTTTAATTTCACGTTACTATAATCACTATAACAGTAAAGTCGAAAAAATACTTTGTCACATTACTATATTAAAGTCGCAAACTATTTATCGTCATACTGAAGTAACAAAACTCTACTACTGTAATGGACAGATTTCAAGAGGGAAATGAGAGGTTTACTTACAATATTTGGATCACTTGTCAGCACAGTTTTAATGATCTTCAGGTTTGCATTTTCTTTGTCTGAATTCAAAGCATTCCATATTCGAATATTTGTTGTCAAATTAGAAAGATACACAATAAAAAGCTTGTCTCCTTGTTCACCCTTTGCCCTGTCTGGTTTCTTAAACGAAATAGGCTGCGAAGAGAGGATAGGTACCCTATCCGAACCTTCGTCTTTCATACCTTGAACTATGGCAATGAGATAAGATCTCTTAGGCCTGTTCAAATCCTCAATTCTTTTTGGTTTTACATCTGTTAGTGCAATAAGATCACCAACTTCAGGTTCATATTTTGATTCAGTTTTCGACTCGTTGTTCTCTCCCTCTGTAGCTCTTTTCAACAAAATATTGTAATATAAGCCTTTGGGAGGCTTAAAATCTTTTGATATTTTTACATCAAGAACCTCAAGAGCCGGGGCTCGCGAAACTGTGAACATGTTTGAGAGCAAATCAGCATGTGTTTCTTCAACAAGGGGAGTAATGAATGACTTCATGTAATGATCAGTTGACAAGAATGTTTCTGGAATTTCTTTAACCTAACACATTGTAGTTGAAATTAGGACTTGAAAATATCAAAATATTTCAAGATGGCAATAAATATCTGATCTAACCAACATGTTAAAGAAGAAGAAAGTAGGGGTCTCCGGTAACATAAATGGAAAAGGAAGATAAGGCTGCATCTTGATTTCATTAATATTACAAATTTGAATCTTTCCATTATGCAATGCTAATTTGTACACTATCATACCACCTAAACATAACTACTAGTAGTCGTCCATAAAAAGTGGTATTAGTAACCTGGAAAAAAAAAAAAAGCAAGTTACAAGAGACACATCAAGATTTGAATTTGATGGATTCAATCTTTAGGTTCTCATCACAAACCATTACCATAACTATTATGCTTCAATCTCAAACAAGTCGGGGTCTCGTCGACCCATTACAACAACTATTATTAAGTCTCAGTTCCAAAAAAGTTGGGGTCTCATCAGAACCCATTACAACAATAACAACTACTACTATGCATCAGTTCCGAACAGAGGCGGACCCATGTGTATGAGTGAGGGGTCATCGGATCCCGTAAACTTCGGCCGAAATCTCGTATATATATATACGTATATACCTTGAAAATGGTTAATTTAAAGCAGTTGGCACCCTGAACACTAAAAGCATTTAGGGGCCACTGGTTGAGCAGAATAATGTGCCCCTGTCGCGTAAAAATTGTGGGTCCGCCTCTGGTTCCGAACAAGTTGGTGTCTCATCAAAACCCATTACAACAACAACTACTACTACGACCTCAGCCCCAAACAAGTTGGAGTCTCATCAAAATCCATTACAACAACAACTCCTATGCCGCAGTCCCGAACAAGTTGCGGTCTCACCAGAATCCATTACAACATCTACTACAATCAGTCCCAAAAAAAGTTGATGTCACATCAGAATCCATTACGACGGCGACGACAACAACAATAACAACAACTATTACTATTTCTCCATCCCAAACAAGTTGGGTCTCATCAAAGCTCATTACAACAACAACTAATTAATATGCCTCAATCCCAAACAAGTTGCGGTCTCATCACAACCCATTACAAAAACAACAGCTACTACGACTCAGTACCGAACAAGTTGAGGTCTCATCAGAATCCATTACATTTTTTAAATTATGGGTTCAATTGTTTTTTGAAATATTGGTAATTTTTAACATGTATATCTGTAACCCATATGAAAAAAAATGTTGGGTTGCATGCAACATCCACCACTGCAACAAATTAAAATACACTGATCGCATACCATAGCATAAAACAGATTATACTATCGTTAAATACTACTAATCAAAAATACTTTTTAGGGGTGCAAATGAACTAGATGAAAAATGCAATCGTTCAAAACCTTGTTTCTGTAAAGATCTCTGTTCAGCACGTCCTTTAAAGACCAAGAAAACACCAAATCTACCAACCCTGGAACTGTTTTCTCTTTTTTCTTCCTTGTAGTAGTTTCCATCTTAATTCCCTAGTCATCAAAATAAACAACATCAACTCAAAGTTACATGTACAAACAAATAGAAGGAAATGAAAAAAAGTTGTTACCTTGTCTTTCTTCTTCTGGGGTTTATTAGCTAAGAAACTTTTCCAGGTCTGTTCTTTTATATGCAAATAAGTCACTGCTGCTGCATTCCTAAAGCAGAGTGAGGAAAATGACAGAAAACTTTTACGTAGCAGAGCTCCAATGAAATCTCAGAATGAAAAAGAACTTCGTACAATCATACGAAGAAAAAGAGAAAGTGTTTGGAATAAAGAGACGAGACCCCAGCAAGGTTGACGAGGAGTCAATAACTTAAATGGAAGAAAAATAGAAACATGGATATATTTTGCTTACCCAAATACTAAGGAAAGTAATAATAATTATACAGTGTAAGTTATATACATCAGTGGTTTGTTGGAACTAATTTTCATTTTATATTAAAATTTATATTCCTATTCTATATATGACAGTACTTTGCTTTTGCTTAGAGACTGTTATAAAGAGATTTGAATGTCTTTGAATTAAAGAATTTACTAAAAATGTACAAAAATTAAATCCATAATTCAATTACTAACACCAAATATCGTTATCCTAAAATTTAAATCCTTAAAGTTCAAAATTTGGCTCAACCTCTGTTTAAATTTGTGAATTTATAATATTAAAAATAAAATAGATTACATATCATAATAGGTAAAGATGATTTGATGGTGTAAAAATATTAGTCTAATGTTGTAGTTAGCTTAAAATGATGATAATATTATTCCATGTTGGTGTCAATATCATCAGTGTTTTATACTGTAGCAAAAGTAAAAGATTAAAAAGGCTAATATGAAGGAAAAGGAAGATGATGAGAAGTTACAAGGAAGACTTTGAATCGAAGTTAGGCCAAAGAAAAGTGGAAAAACTTACTTGGAATCTAAAATTAGTTACACGAGCAAATTACTAAAAAAATATATTTGAAAATTCTTGATAATAATTTCTTTCCTTCTACTTTAGGATCTACACTTATCGTAGAATATTTATTTTCTTTTTAGTTTAGCAATATTTTGGTATAATATTTGTTTTCATTTCTAAGTTTAGGATCTACATTACTTGTAGAATATTTATTTTTCCTTTAGTTTAGAATTTATGAGGAAAATAACATATTCTCCTTATTTTATTCCCTTTGATTATCTATAAATAGTGATATACTATTTTATTTTGAATCAACGCAACAAATCATGCAATGATATATCATCCATTCCCCCCTTATCTTTTTCCCTTAGTTTCTCTTATTTTTGTTAACAAAAGTATACACATTATAACAAGTCAAAGCACACTCATACTTGTAAACACTTTTTTGATACAGTCAATATATAACTTAAATTCAATATAATCCAAATAACTTTACTTTATATGAACTATGTTAACATTATTTATACTATTAATGCTGTTTTTTCTTTTTAAATTCAAAGCCACCATTATGGTATGGTACTTTCAGGTCTTATCTCTCGAGATCCTATTTGAAAGGCAGTTACAAGAATCTGTCTTGATTAAGTGATCCTTTTTCGGGCAACTACGGAGACATACGTTGACCCGAGCTTCCCTTTGTGTTACCAATACTAAGAAAAGTAAGTAAGAATTCGTTCTAGATAATTAACTATTGATGTAGCTCTTTCCCTTCATGACCCCCAACATGTCTAATTGTCTATGACCCGTTTATACTCTAAGAGTTCTTTGGAAACGAGGGATAAAAGAATTAATCATGTGATTAAATTTAAGATGAATTTATCATATGTTTGATTGAGATAAAATTACGTGATAGCTAATCTCGGGTTTATAGGATTATTTTTATATCTCTATGTGAGGGTGAGATAACAATCCCGGAATAACTAATCCTGAAATAACTTGTTTTCCAACTAAATGATCCTTCAATGTTGTTTAACTTGTTGTAAGAAATTATCTTATTAATTTATTCTCCATGTTACCAAGAACAAAAAAGAATCGAAAGGATTAAAGTCATTTGAAAACACGAAACATATTGTCGACAAACCAATGTCATGAGGCTGTGTGAAAGAAGTGAAGTCATATATGGGAAATGTACAACGAAATAGCGACGTGAAAGTGACTTTTTGGGGGTCGTTTCGTTTTCTTCGTTGGGAATTAAAGAGATTTTAAAAAATTTCTATCACCTTTATATTCTTTTCTCATTTGCCAAGACTTAGGCGAGTGAACTTGTTATAATGACAAATTAAAAGCTACTAACTTTTTCCTGCCGACGTCCATTTCTCTCTGAGTAAATTTAATTCGGACTATAATACATAACTTGTTAAATAAATAACTACAGAATAATTCTTCTAGAAAAATGATTTATTTGTGCTTTTTCCTTTGGCAAGAGTTGATTGTTCGCTCCAAAAATTTCATTTAAATTGGTTTTGATGATACCAAACTAAAAGACATTATAGTTTATTTGTATCTCATAATAATTTTCATACAATTCTATTGTTTGTACTTCTATTAGTGTGCTAAATTTTGTTAAAAACTCCTACAGTTTTTTATATTTTCCAAATTTATAGGATTTTAAAAGATTTCTTCATATTCTTTTGCTATTTATTAATACTAGTTTCTATGTACTTGCTTTGTACATAGAGTTTTAATCTATTATATATATGAACAAACAATAAATTAAATTTATTAAAAAATTATATATAAGAAAAAAGAGTCAATTTAAACAATTGACGTGAAAAGAATTGCTATGATATTTGGAATAATAAAATCTATGTTATTTCATTAACATAATCCTTCAATTCAAAATCTATTGTCTGAAGTTGTCAAATTGATCAATTTAATAAAGTTAGAAACATATGTTTATAATGTAAAATTTTGCAATAGGGTCGTATATGTCTTTTTTATAGACGATATTTTCGGTATTTGATCTCCTATATCATTTTTGACTGTTTCATAACTCTTGTTTACGATATCGGTATCCCATCACTCCCTCGCTTTCTTTGGAGGCCATTTCGATTCTTTTTCTAGTATGATTCCTCCATAAGAATACAGAATGCACGGCTTCGCGGAGAAACTCTCCCCTACACACAACATAGTGTGGAATCGAATTATTCGTTCAGTCTATTCTAGTTAATCCTTTATGGCAGGTGATTTACTTATGAACTAAAGAAATAAGAGAGCAACATATAGTTGTCTCTATGTGAAAACATATTGTGGAATACATTCCAATATTGAAACCTTTTAAGAAAATATGTTATGGCGACAAGTGAAATTAATTAGTCAAGTTACAATATTTTTTCCTAAAGATACAAAGCTTGATTAGTTACATAAATTAAGCAATACATGAAAAATAATGAAGGTACTCCAGCTTCACAAATATAACGATCGTAAAAGAATAAGTTTATGTTTGGCTCCTTTTTAGAAATGGGATCATTCAATAAGTTAATATTAGCCGACAAGAGGGGGTTTCTTAGATAGACAACATCCCCCACGTACAACCCCAAGATCGTGGGTTCGAATCACCAAAGGAGCAAAAGTTCCGACAAAGGGAGATCAAAGGGAAGGGGAATAAAAACAATTATAAAAAAAAAGTTAGTATTATCCCATTGCATTAACAATATAGTTCAATGATAAAAAGAATGGGGATTAAGTTATCCAAACAATATACAATCTGATAATAGTAACTTTGAATTGATTTTTGTTATACTCATGTTACTATCCAAAAAGAATTGGAATAAGAATCAGTTGGCAATGAGTCCTCGCTATCCAAAAGCTAGCAATTAGAAATTTCTTTGCATTGATCTCTGTTATATTTACTCGTGTAACAATTCGAACTATCTTAAAAGAATTCTATCAATGAGAATTATATTAGCGGTGAGTTGTCCAATAAGAATTAGAATATCATCCTAAAGGAATTCTCTCAATGAGAATTATGCTGGAAGTGGTCCAAAAATAGTAGAATACTATCCTAAAAAGATTCTACCGATAGTAGGAATTATATATGGTATCGATAATAGTATAAAATCACACTATTGAACTAAATGAATGACATGAGAAAGATATGTACGATAATAAACGTTATTATTTAAAAGTATTGGTTGCACTGTGGCAATTATATCCAATATTACTTAATGAAAGAAATATTCTCGATCAACACAATTGTTATTTCTATATGAGTGTTGTTCGTAGTTCGTTTGACTGAACACTCGTAGGACAAAAAATGCTTGACTTTGAAGATTGTATATTAATTGTTTTAACTATATATTGTTAAAAGTGTATGACCATCTCATCTAAAAGTTTAATCTATTTGTGAAAATATACTTTTATTTACTTAATTATATCTTCAGCACGCCCCCTCATGTGGGGGCTTGATTCTTTTTTATGAGCCAAACATGCAAAAATTCTTTTTGATATTGGGTGGCGGTGAGATTCGAACCCAAGACCTTTGCCTGCTCTGATAACGTGTTAAAGTGTATGACAATCTCATCTAAAAGCTTAAGCTGTTAGATATAACACACTTTTTGTCACAACCCGAAATTTCCACCTTCGGGACCGTGATGGCGCCTAGCATTTCACTTACTAGGCAAGTCGACGTTAGAATAATATTAGCCATTTTAAAATAATTTTAAACTAATTAATAACAAAGAAACAAATGCGGAAGTAAGGTCTGAAATGTAGTGAATAATCCATAATAATAGCGATGTCTAAATACCATCCCAGAACTGGAGTCACAAGTGCACGGGTTTCTAGAATAATACAAATAAAGGTCTAAATAAAATTTAAGTTATTTAAAATATAATACACAACTGAGATAATATAGAAGGGGACTTCAGAATTATGAACGATGTACAGTTAAACCTTAAGTCTCCACTGGTAGCTGTATCCGGGAAAATTTACAGTACGTCGCTGGGACCAACTCCGAAATCTATACAAGAAGTGCAGACTACAGTATCAGTACAACCGACCCCATGTACCGGTAAGTGCCGAGCCTAACCTCGGCGAAATAGTGATGAGACTATGAAAAGACACGTATGTAAACCACATGTACAAGTATACACAAATACAAAGTAACAATAATACAACAAATAACAATTTATAAATTGGGAGGGAACATGCAAAGGAGAAGGATATAAAAATTTCAGCAGGAGGAGCGTCACTTAGCAGCCAGTTAATTTATCAACAATAAAATAAGCAAATGATAATATGAAAATGGTACGGCACCACCCTTTGTGCTTTTATTCTCATTTGACACGGCATCACCCTTCGTGCTTTTACACTCACAAATGGCACGATA